AAAAAAAAAGAAATTAAATAAAATTGCTAAGTAATGGATATAACCTCATAAGCTCCCTGCTGGACTGTGATTATGATTCTCCTTCCAGAATTTACAAAACTAAGGCTTCAGTTATGTGAAAAAATATGAGAAGAAACTGCTTCAAGTCTTCCATACCAAATGTCAAAATGCATTGTTTGGCACTGCCTTTAAAAACAACCCATATACGTGTTTTGTGATCAAGACAGCATTGTTAAACTAACTTTGGTGGAGCCTTTCAACACCATAACCATAACATGTTTTTTCTGATCTGACACGACTATGGATAAGGTTTGGTTAGGTTGCCTGATGACAGAAGAGCATGTTAAAGTTTAGCACTTTCCTTCCTACATGGACGTTAAGGTACCATAGCGTCATTGCACTACTTTTATCTTCACTCCTGACAGACAAGACCCATAAAAACAAAATTAATCATGATAAAACAAGAATTCCACAGGTTTTATTTGGACCCTGAATGGAGCTCAGTGCAGCATCATCTGCAGTGAAGCCACTCACATGTCCCTCTTACATCAGAGACAGCTTCAGTATTATTATTTACAGCACATACAGCTCAGTTGCTGTAGCTGTGAACAAGTGCTCCGATGACAGGTAACAGCGATCACCTAGTACATGATCAACACAGCAGGCGGTGGGAACCCTTGCTCAGGAGGAAAGAGAGTTACGGCCCCCCGCTGATGGAGAGAGAGAAAGTGTGTAGCGAACTGTGTCAGTCGATCAATGTCCGTGTTGAACATCAGCCCGCGTGTTATTCATTCCAATATTAATGCTAGGAGACATGCAGGAGGAGTGATAGGCAGGCGGTCGGCTGGTGACTCTTAACAAACCCTGTCCAATTACACAGGGGATGGAGGTGTGCATTTGTGTGTGTGTGCATGTGTGCCTGTGCGTGCCTGTGTGTGTGTGTGCTTCAATTAAAATCTTGTCAGTGTGCAGAAATCGAATGTGTCAGTCGCAGGTCTGGAACTGTCTGCCTCTGAGGCACCGTCAACATGCCAATCACCAAGAGGCAGACGCTGCCTACAGGGCAGACTGGGTGAAGGAAGTGTAAGAGTGGGGGAGGGGGGGGCAGGTGTGTTCATTTGATTGGTCACAGGAGGGTGACAAGTGTCTGGCAGCCACTGGGGGCTACATCAACACCATTTACATGCTAATAATTCAATTACAACCACTTTAAAGCAAGAGCAGATTATAGCAGTTGTCAAGTAAACACTTGATGAAGGTACAGATAATGGGTGATGACTTGATTTAGTTAAGACTCGTCTACCTGAAGGCTTGATAGAGAAATATATTCAAGTTTTAACTTTGGCCTGGAACATTTCTCCGGACAGGTCTTGTATTGCTGCACACATGGATGGATTACTGAATGAGCCTACCAGCCAGAGGCCCAGGGGCCTTAAGTGTCAGGGGCCCCTTTAGCTTTCATCTGCAACAACATTTCACTCAAATTAACACATATTGACCAAGAAAAGTCTCAAAATAAACCCAAATAAGCATTAAATGACGACAAAGACACACAAACAACTACAAAGAGATGCAGAACAGCTGCAGAAAGAAAGAAGTAGACTCACGATGACTGTGAAAACGGGCAAAAGAACCACAAAGAGGCACAAAATGACAACACAGAGACTAACAATGACTACAAAGAGATGCAGAGCAACTACGAAAATGGGCAAAACAACCCACAAAAACACTACAAACAGACATAAACCCACAGAGAGATGTGCAACGACTACAAAAATACATAAAATGACAATAAAAAGAGGCTAAACAACTATAAAATCTGTGTTCTGTATCAGTTGAGGAGAGGTGGTGGGGCCGTCTGCATGTCTGCGCTCAGGGGCCCTTTGTCTCATAATCCACCCAGGGCTACACACCTTTAATATTTACTTATTGTATAGAACTGATGTGGTCTCAGTTACGTAAAAATAACATTAATAGCAGCTTTAATCAGGAAATATCAAAATGCTGTGTCATTGCTTTGATCAGCAAGTATAGACCTGAAAGACTTGGATCTTGACTTGCAATCCTCTTATGAAGATTTGTCTTGGACATGCCTAAAAAGACATGACTGGGCCAAAAGACATCAGACATACTCTGACATCTGCATGCACGAGTGTTGAAAATGGGCATGAGTGGATTTAATAAGAAGCTTAAGCCGCCTACCACGTCTGTCCTAAACCCAGGATTCACATTTTGCTCATGCACCTACATCAGTCAGCATTAGAACTAAAGCGCAGGCTTGTACAGAAACTAGCTATGCGAGGTTGATTTTAGGTGTTGCACTTTTTCTAAAGTACCTGTCAGCACAGACGAATCACTGCAAGAGACGTGTAAGGTCAGAGGAGGTCTGCTATTATAAACACTGATAAAAAACAAGAATCAGTCCTCCTGGGGAAACTGACAGACAGGAAGCGTTCAAAGCTGTTTTCCACATGAAAGAAACACAAGGGTCAAAAGTCAGATGTTAGTCCTCGTCAGGCAAAAGAAAAAGTGTTATTAAAGGCCTTCCACAATGCCATTCTGGGATTGAAAGGGAGCGCACAGTTCACAGGAGTCTGCAGAGGTCATGGCTTCTAAATTCTAAAACTTTAAAAAAAAAAAGAAAAAGAA